GCTGCAAGCACCTCTGAGAGAAAGCCTCCCTCGAGTTCCAACCGATGCCAGACAGTCCAGTTTCTCCCGTATGAGTCTGGGTCCCCAGAGACTCACCCGGAACTGGAGTTCAGAGCAGTCTGGAGCTTGAGACTTCCTCCCGATTGAAAAAGACAACCATGTCCTCAGTTGCCAGCCCTTTCTGTGTGCACCTCCATACCTCTGCACTCTACTTCCATACCTCCTCTGAGTCTCAGTGTGCTTTTCTCTTTCCTTCTAGTTGTAGAATTTCCACTCAGCCAGCCTTCCTGTGGTTCTGGATGATGTCCGTTTTGTCTTTTAGTTGTATTTTTGAAGTGGTTGTGAGAGGCAGCAATTTCTGGTGTTTACCTATGCCGCCATCTTGGTTTCCTATCAATCAATTTCTTATATATCATCAATGACCAGGTGGAATTTGAAATAAAAAACACAATAGCATTTATATTACACCCTCCAAAAATAAAATACTTAGCTATTAGCTGCATGACCTCAGGCATATTACTTACCCGCCTTGAGCCTCGGTTTCCACATCTCTCAGATGGAGGCAATAATGTCTTCTGGACCTCTTTCATAGAGTTGCTGTATCTCCGAAGGGAGGCACTGTTGACTTAAAAGTATCTTAAGTGTTTAGGTCCCTGATCCTCAAAGCCATGGTCCTAGCTGACCAGTGGACCTAAAAGCAAACAATGACCTGCAAAGCTTCCTATGGGAACTATGAGAAAGGCTCTGGCACAGGTCATGTAGCTTTTTGTGCCTATTTGGCCCACTGGCCGGGTAAGGAAGAGGCTCCTTTGATGAGTGCAAAATGATTTATTTAGAAATGAATGAAAAGATCCAAAGGTCTTTTTTTTCTGATTTGGCCACTAATTGAGGCTTTTAGTAAGCCACTTAAGGTTCCCAGAGCCTTTGCATCCATAAAATAGTAACAATAACCCCCATCCTTCCTGGCTGACTGTATCACTATGAAGATCTGATGGAATAATGTGTGCATAACTATGTTTAATATTTCTAAAATCCTAACCTGGGGATATGTTCATTGATTTAGAGAGAGGGAGAAAGAGAGGGAGAGAGAGAGAGAGAGAGAGAGAGAGAGAGAGAGATTAATTTGCTGTTCCACTTGTTTATGCATTCATTAGTTGATTCTTGTATGTGCCCTGAACGGGGATTTAACCAGCAACCTTGGCGCAAGAGGATGACACTCTAACTAACTGAGCTACCTGGCTAGGGCTAGCATGCATGGGTTTTAAAAAGCCAGTCTATTGGGTAGCAACTCAGCTCTGGTGCCTGCTGGCTGTATGACCTTTGCAAATCACATACTTTCTGTAAACAAGTTTCCTCATTTGTAAGATAAAGAAGAAAACAAAATAGTACCTACTTCATTCACAGTGCTGTTGGAATATTAAATGAGTTAATTTGTGTAAACACTGGGAACAGTTCCTGGCACTTAGTAAGTACTTGATAAATGTTTGTTATTATTATTATTGGGTAGGGCAGTTGTATTATCACCATTTTAGTCACGTGTAGAATAGGGACCAGAACTTAGACCCTTGTTCTAAGAAATGTCATTCTAGCCCTGGCCAATATAGCTCAGTTGGTTGGATGTTATCCTGTGCACCAAAAGGTTGCTGATTCAATTCCCAGTTAGGGTACATACCCAGGTTGTGGGCTTGATCCCTGGTAGGGGGCATGCAGGAGGCAGCGTATCTATATTATGCTCTCATATCAATGCCTCTCTCTCTCTCTCTCCTCTCTCTCTCTCTCTAAAAATCAATAAAAATGCTTTTTAAAAATGTTTAAAGTCATTCTGTAAAATTAAGGCACCCATAAGGAATTAATATCCAGAATATATAAAGAACTTCTACAAATCAAAAAACAAACAGCCCAACAAAAAAAAAAATGGGCAAAGGACTTGAATAGACAGTTCTCTAAAGAACATATCCAAACGCACACAAAAAGATGCTCAACATGTCCTAGCTGGTTTTGCTCAGTGGATAGAGCGTTGGCATGTGGACTCAAGGGTCCCAGGTTTGACTGTGGTCAAGGGTACATGCCCAGGTTGTGGGTTCAATCCCCAGCAGGGGGTTGCAGAAGGCAGCCAATCAACAATTCTCTCTCATCGTTGATGTTTCTATCTCTCCCTCTCCCTTTCTCTCTGAAATCAATAAAAAAATATATTTTTTAAAAAGATGCTCAACATCACTAACTATTAGGGAAATGTAAATCAAAATAGCCACAAGATACCACTTCACACCCATGGGGACTATTAGTATAAAAAATCAAAAATGCCCTGGCTAAGGTAGCTCAGTTGGTTGGAGCGTCATCCTGATGCACCAAAAGGTTTGGGGCTCGATTCCCAGTCAGGGCACAATCCTAGGATGCGGGTTCAGTCCCCAGTTGGGGCACATACGAGAGGCAACCGATCAATGTTTCTCACATCAGTGTTTCTTTCTCTCTCTCTCTCTCTCTCTCTCTCTCTCTCTCTCTCTCTCTCTTCCTCCCTCTCTAAATATCAATAAAAAAACATATCCTTGGGTGAGGATTTAAAAAATAAAAATAGAACTACCATATGATCCAGCAATTGCACTGCTGGGTATATAACCAAAATAATCGAAAGCAGGGACTTGAAAAGAGATTTGAACACTCACATTCAAAGCAGCATTATTAGCAATAGCCAAAAGGTGGAAGCAACCCAAATGTCTATTGACATATTATATAAACAAAATGTGGTATATAAATACAATGGAATGTCACTCAGCTTTAAAAAGGAAGGAAATTCTGACACATGCTACAATGTGAATGAACCTTTAAGACATGATGCTGAGTTAAATAAGTCAGTCACAAAAAGACAAATAATATAAGCTTCTGCTTATACGAGGTATCCAGAGCAGTCAAATTCATAAAGACAAAAATTAGAATGGTGATTATTAGGAGCTGTGAGCGAGGGTAGAATGGGGAGTTATCCTTTAATAGGCACTGAGTTCTGTAACATAAAAATTCTGTAAATGGGTGGATGGTGGTAATGGTAGCCTAACACAAGAATATACTTAATGCCACTGAACTGTACACTTAAGAATGGTTAAGATAGTAAACTTCATGTTATATGTATTGTACCACCATTATAAAAAATTTAAATGAGTGCAGTAGCTGGAAGGGAGATAGAGACCTGGGCCAGATTATAAAAGGAAGACCATAACTGGGAAAGTGATGTTAAAGGAACAGTGTCAGGCCACAATTCTCAGCATGACATAAGTTTCATCATCTTGTTAGGCTCCTCTAAACCTAAAAATTTCTCTTCCATTTCAGTAGTACTTTTCCCCTTGGAACCCAAGAGAGTAGGAAATGAGATTTATTTACATGTTAATATACCTACATAGTTTCAAAAAAAAAGAAAACAACCATTTTCTTTCCTTAGTAGCAAATTATCCTTCCAATAAACGAACATTTTCAAAAAGAACTTGACCAAGAACTTCCCCGTGGCTATTAAGAGATAACAATCAAAATCCTTAGCAAGGCCTTCAAAGGCTCTGATGGTTAGGCTTGGAAGCCTGCTGACTTTACAGCCTCAACTCCTACCATATTTCCCCTTGATCCTCTCTCCACTCTACCACACTGGCTTTCTTGCAGACCCACCACTGCATATACTGTTCTCTCTGCCTGAAATACTCTTCCCTCTACTCTTAGCTTAGTTAAAGTCTACTCATCCCTCAGGTCTCAGTAAAATCATCATTGCCTCCAGGAAGCCCTCCCTGGTCTCCCAACATGTCAAAACTCCCCTATTATGTGCTTTCGTAACATACAATTCTCCTTTATAGAACTTTTCATAACTGGATTTTAACATTCATTTCTCTGATTATGTAATTAATGTCTGGCTCGCCAACTAGACTATAAGTTGCATGAGGGCTGGGACCATGTTAGATTTTGCTCATTACTGTAGCCAGCACAGGGCTTGGCCATAGTAGAGAGCTTAACAAATATGCATTGAATGAATGAAAGTACAAAATAAAATATTTACCAAAAAATTAAAATAGTAGACAGTCAAGTTTACAAAATATAGCTTTTATTCTGATCTTTATAATCCCAAAATAAAAGCAGTCAGTTGTTTTCCTGGGTCTTAAATCCTCAAAACCCTTTCTCTTAAGATGACTACATTCTGATTAGGTGGGACAGGATTACAGAAACTAAATCTACCTCTCTCCCTCCATATACTACTTGTCCCCAGTCCTATGGCCCTCAGTGTCACCTCCCCACACATCAAGAGTGCACTCTGCTGATGACCATCTAGATCAGCGGTCTCAACCTGTGGGTCGCGACCCCTTTGGCGGTCGAACGACCCTTTCACAGGGGTCGCCTAAGACCATCCTGCATATCAGATATTTACATTACGATTCATAACAGTAGCAACATTACACTTATGAAGTAGCAATGAAAATAATTTTATGGTTGGGTCACAACATGAGGAACTGTATTTAAAGGGCCAGAAGGTTGAGAACCACTGATCTAGATGGAGGCAACCCCTTAGCCCAGTAAGCATAATGCAGGATCCAGAATCATTGCAGCTACAGCAAGAAAATGCCAGTTCCTTTGAGCTTCCCACCCAGGGCTGAAAGGCTAAAAGGCCAAGGATGGATGGCTAAATTCTGGGCACCTGGAATGCAAAAAGCTCAACGTGAGGGGCAAAACCTCTGGACTGAGGAAGAGGAAAGAAGCACCCAGAATACCCACTCTGGAGTCCAGGAATACAAGTACTCTGCTATCTACACAGCCCCTGAGCCCTGCCTAACTAGAGACAGGTGGAACTGCTGGAAGATTCCAGACGAGAGTCAAAAAAAGATGATTTTTCCTCTATAACTTGGCACCTCTGTTCATCTGCAAAGATAAATACAGACCTAACAGAAAGGGTTGCCTTCTGATTTATGAGGACTGTATGACAAGGTAGTCTGGGAGCCAAGAGAGTTAGGTCTCCAACCCCCCACATCTTTATGTCTGTGAAGCAACATTTTTGTGGAAGGAGATGGAAGTCGATTAATTTTTGACACCATGTAAAAAACTGGTATTTCCTGACCAAACACCAGGGCAGCCAGAAGTTTATAAATTAAGACTCTATGGTTCTTTTGTTTTAAAATATGTAAGTTGTGGGAATAAAGAAGCTTTAGTTTCTTATCGGAAATATTCTGTGCTGGGTAAATAGAAGCTATAAGTATGTTCCACTGACAGTATGGTTTTGGCATGAACAGGCCAATAAAATGTACACTGTCACCCTGGATTGCAAAGGCACATGGCAAGAGCAAGCCACACACTGTCGGCAGAGTTGAAGAAAGCCCATGGAGTAGGTGGAAATCAAAACAAAACTTCCCAGACTTTACCGAAATGCATTCTGAATAAGGTGGCTTTGTGGCTGCTCCTGGTCTGATTCTTCCCTGCACATGACTATGACCTCTTAGCACCTCTAGGACTTTGCTCATGCTGGTCTTCCATCTCCCCTGCCCCAGGGAGAAAATATTGGCTGGAGTATCAGGAACCCTAACCCACTCTCTTGCTGTATTTCTTCATCTAAGAAATGAGGCCAGACTCTAGTAACCAGATGTTTTCTCTGGTCCCTCCAAGTTCTGATGACTTCTGAATTCTCCTACAGTGGTCGGCAAACTCATTAGTCAACAGAGCCAAATGTCAACAGTACAACAATTGAAATTTCTTTTGAGAGCCAATTTTTTTAAACTTAAATTATATAGGTAGGTACATTGTTATTAACTTAATTAGGGTACTCCTAAGGCTTAGGAAGAGCCACACTCAAGGGGCCAAAGAGCCGCATATGGCTCGTGAGCCGCAGTTTGCCGACCACGGTCCTAAGAGAAACCAAGAATGCTTTGTCCCATTTGTCTGTTTCTTCCTTCTAAGTGGAGAAACAGCTAGAACTCATCTCCTCTAGGAAGTCTTGCCTTATTATGAATTCCACCCATTCTTAGCCCCAGACTGCGTAATCTCATTCAAGTCATATCCTGGGTTTCTTTTGCTAGCTAGGTTCTTGAGCACAGGAACTGTGTTTTCAAGTTCTTTTGCCTCACATGTCGCCCCCAAAGTGTAATATAGTTCTCCTTTTAAAACTGGTATGCAATCCAAGCTGTTGAATGACTAGTTGACTAAGCAGGCAGTTACATACTGAAGATTAAAGAAAACTAGAAAACTTTCTGAAAGAAAAGCAGCAGTAGTTATAATTAAATAGCCTTCCTAAGTAGGCCAAGTATGCTTAAGAATAAGGATTCTGGAGTCAGATGCTGGTAGATACAGGTTTGAATCCAGCTCTATTGCGTAATAACTGGGTTCATGAGCAAGTCATTCATATTCCCTTAACCTCAGTTTTCTCATCTGTAAAAATCCAGAGACATAGAAGCATGGAACACACTGACGAATCTCAGAAGGAAGTCAGGGGTGGGTGGGTGCGTGGGGAGAGATTAACCAAAGAACTTATATGCATGTATGCATAACCCATGGACACTGACAATAGTGTAGTGAAGGCCTGAGGGGGGTGGGGAGTGGAGGGGGGTCAATGGGGAAAAAAGGAAACATCTGTAATACTTCTAACAATTAAAGATAATTTTTAAAAAAATAAGCATAGTAATAGTACTACCTTGGGACTATGACCAAGTTTTAGTGACATCATGCATAAAAAGTCCTCAGCCCAGTTTCTTGCATATAGTAAATGCTCCAAGCTATTAGCTCTTTAGTAATGATGGTGATGCTGATGATAATAATGATGATGTCAACCCATCCCAGAAGGCCAGGTCTCAAGACAGAATGTCCCTAGGTTTGACTGACTATTACTTCTTTTCCATTCTCAAAACAATACAAGTGACTTCTAGAATCTTGAACAAATGTCTGGTTGCCTTCTGGAATATCTACACTTTGCTATAAGGAGTTAGGAAGTGATGATCTGAGATCCTCTTTGAATTGCCTTCATGATTTAGAAAAATGTCTTTATGAATAATAGGAATTCATGGGTGGCTATGTGATGTATTATGAATGTTATAGATGGTGGATACAGTGGTGTTAGGAAGGAGAAAATATAGAACCTTAGATATCACCAAAATCTGTTCTTGAAAGTGTATTAAGAATATAAAGGAATGTATAAGAAGGAAATACACAGGACCCAAAAATCCCTCCTCAGAATCACCTCTAAGCTGGGACTCTCTCTTGTTATCCAGCTGCTACTGGACATCTCCACCTGGATGTCATATAGGTACTTCAAACTCAGCTTGTCCAAAATGGAACTCATTCTCTCTCCTTAATCTACAATCCCTTAAATCTTCTTCTCCACCCAATTTTCCAAGTCAAAAACTGGGAAGTTATCCTCAGCCCTACCTTTTCCCTCAACACTGCACTGCCCACTAATCAATAAACTGTCCAGTCAGTGGCTCAGTGGTTGAGCATTGACCTAGGAACCAAGAGGTCACTGGTTTGATTCCCTGGGCACATGCCTGGGTTGCAGGCTCAAACCCCAGTAGGGGGCATGCAAGAGGCAGCTGATCTATGCTTATCAATGTTTCTTTTACATATATATATATATTATATGGCACATTTAAAAAAAATTCTTTATTGTTAAAAGTATTATGTAAGTCTCCTTTTCCCCACATTGACCTCTCCCCAGCCGTCCCCACTCCCCAGCACATGCCCTCCTCCCCACCCCCCAGTCTGTGTCCATTGGTTATGCTCATATGCATCCATACAAGTTCAATGTTTCTTTCTATCCCTTTCCCTTCCTCACTCTCTAAAAATCAATAAAAACATATTTTAAATAAAAAACAAAACAAAATTAAAAACTGTGTAGATTTGAATTCCTAAATAGCGTTCCAATCCACCCATAGCTCATCCTCCCCACTGTACATCCCCAATTCAACTCCCCTTAGACCAGAGAAATAATCTCAATATTTCTTTTGCTATGACCCAACTCATTCTATCCCTCCATTTACAGAACATCTAAAGGGAACATTCTAAAACTAAAATCTGCTTAAGTCAACTTCTGCTTTCAAAACTCCTTCCTGTCTCCTCAGGGCCTTGAAAGTGAAATTAAAACAGTGGTGAGATGAAAGTATTGGCCCCAGCTAAATTGTACCCATCATTCCCTCTTCCCCTGGGGGCCTCATATTGTTTACACCAATTACATGGCTATAGTATAGGCCTATTAACTGTCCTAATTCATTATTAGTGTGTCATACTGTTTTACACTTCTATACCACCTCTACTCAGAAAGTGTTCTCCCTCTTCCTCCACCAACCTGGTGAATCTTACCTACCTTCTCTGTGAGGTCTTCCCTATCCCCTTCTCCCCACTAAGCCTCTCTTTTGTACACTAGTGTTACATGTAAGGTCTTTAACACACCTGTTGCACTGTAATTGTCTGCTCAAACTGAGGCCTCTCCAAAGTAGGAATAATATCTTATTCATCTCTGTATCTTTAGCACTCAACAAAAGACCTAGCCAAAAGCAAATATTCAATAAAGATTTGTGAAATGAATTAATGGCCTTACTAAGTCTCTATCCCCAATAACAACAGGTCAATGCCTAATGAGAATTCCTTGACTTTGGCCGGAACAGGATCTGAGAAATTTCAAGGAACTTGAAGTCTGGCCTTGGCTGATGCTCAGACTCCTATCTCCAGCTCAACTCCTCCATATCCACCTCCAGATAAGAAGCACAAAGAGAAACAGAGAAAAGCAGTACCACATGTCCTTGAGTTTTTGGTCACATAATTCCTCCACTCTCTTCAAATCTTCCCTTCATCCCTAAAGGCCTAATTTGGAACTTCTCCATGAAGTACTCTTTCCCCAGCCCATAAAGAGATTTGCCCTCTTCTGAAGTAGTGAAAGGCTATTTACCTGGGCAAGACTGGCACCCATTGCAGACCACCTTGTTGGGTTAGTTTAGTTGGATTTCCAGGGAATCACAGAATGTCAGAGCAGGAACAGCCCTTGGAGATAATCTGGTCTGAATGTCTCATTGTGCCAATGGCCCTGAAGATTTAAGGGAGAAGTGCTTTGCCATATATCCCAAGTCTCCTAGGGAATAGGATCATGTAGATTCCTGGCCCCATTCTAGACCCATGAAATCAGAAATTAGGGTCTGGGGGATAACATTAGAGAAGCCCTACCTATCCTATGCTACATCTACATTGTGTGTTCTCAACTAGCTCAGCAGAGGCTATTTAACTGCAGAGGTTCTTTTTTCCCCCTAGCTCTCTGTGTCCCCCATAGCATCCAGCACAGTAGTGCCTTATAACATTTTCTTTAGTGTTTAACCTCTGGGCTGCTTACCCATGAAAAAAAACTCAGATGAACCAAGAAACCTGACTTGAAGTTAGTCTAACTGAGGACATGAAGGAAGAGGTGGTATGGGCAACCCTCCCCAAACTATACTTTCTGTCTGATTTTCCAAGTGCCAAGGTCATCTATGACCAAAATGATTTCAGGTTGGAAAATTCTATTTCCTAGGAAAATAGAGGGTTAATTACCTGGAACCTCCTCAAACATTTTTCTTAACTCTTCTTTTGGGAGAAAAATCAACATTCCAACACACACACACACATACACAAATGCATGCAAATGCATAATTTTGTGAACATCCATGGGGGTCACATCTCACACACTCTGTTAGTGCCTGTCCCCAGCCTGGGCAGTGATCTCAGATAGCCAGGAAGTGTAATCACAACACAAAAGCTCACTGTTGTCATAAGGATGAGCTCTTAAGGCAGGAAGGTAGCCTGAGACAATTTGGTAATTCTTCTAATATGGAGGATTACAAAATAAGTTTTCTGCTTGAGCCTCAGTTTTATAGAATTTCATACTATGCCCCTTCCCCAAGATTCTGACCAGTCAAGATTTCACTATGCTGAGAAGGCCAGATACCTTGGTTTAGCTCCCCACTGGCTCCAATGACCCTGCAGCCAGATGCCTCTGGGAAGAAAAGTGGCCATAATGAACAGACACAAGACCAGCCTCAGTTTGGCCTGCAAAGTTCCTTCCATTACCAAAAGGCCTCTGCCCTATGCCTGGATCTTTGAGCACAGTTGGACAGGTGGGAGTGCTGGTTAGAGGAAGGAAAGGTTGCTCACCTCCTCATTCATTTGACTAGTCATCCACTTGCAGCAACCTGGACAGCAAGCACTCTCTGGATCCCATTACTATTATTTTTATTGTCTAAAGTTTTACATGTCTCCTTTTTCCCCCAATTGACCCCCCCATCCACTCCCACCCCAGGCAAGCCCCCACTGCCCCAGTGTCTCTGTCCATTGGTTATGCTAACATGCATGCATACAAGTCCTTTGGTTGCTCTCTAAACTATTAATTTGCATCCATTGCTTGTCGAGTATAAGCAAGTCATCTTTTCTGTCAAAGAACAGTTTACTAGTAGACAGCTGCCATTTTGGCTCACTTGACTTGGCAGCCACCATTTGGTAGCATGACTTGCAGCTCCCCTGGGGGTCACCATCTTGAAATGGCGAAGGCCAACCCCTCCCTTCAAATTAGCCAATCATAAAAGACTGAGCTCCAATCAAGAGTGAGGAACAGGTCACGTGCATAGGA